TAAGAAATCGTCTAACGCCTTTTAGAAAGGAATTCATGGGCTGCTTAGGGCTTAAGCAGTCAGATTAGGGTTTCCTAGTTTAAAACCCTAATAGCCTACATGTATAAATAGCACCCTTAAGCCCCAAAAACGTGGTGAACTAGTTGTCTAGGGTTTCCACACGTTTTTGAGAGCCTCCTCCTCTTCTCTTCTTCATCCTCTTGCTCTTGGTGTTTGTGAACCATTAGAGGAGTGACATTTGTGACTCTAAGCTTTCTAAAGTCATTACAAGGAGGATTTGAGATTGTTATTGCTATATAACAATCAAGGTAATATCTTAAACCTATTATTATGTTAATATCGATTATTATATGCTAGAATGAGGGTTTATAGTCATGGATAAATTGCATGTACAATAAAGAAACCTAGATCTAAGCATTAGGATTTGTATGAGCACATAGGATGTTCTTATGACCAAAACCCATCAGTGGTATCAGAGCCTTGATTGGTTTCTATTATATTGATGCATTATGTGTTTATTTAAGTTGCAAATTCGATTTTTGGCCAACCTGCCTGATGAAATCGGCGAGTCCATATGGGTACTCGGCGAGTTCGAGTGTCAGAAAGAGGGGATTTCGGGATTTCTTGCTGTTTTTCTCATGGATAATTGCCTTATCTATTTTAGATCATTAAAATCCGATCTTATTCATATTTTTGAGTATATCCTTGATTAAACAAAAGATAATTACCAATTGATTAGATTATAACTTCCTTATATGATAAATATTGGATTATTTGTATTAATTGGGTAACTTATTTTGCAAGTAATTGAAATTAGATCAAATATAGATAATGATGAAATTAATTGTTTAGTTTATATTATTTGTTATTTGATCCTTGTGTTATGAAAAGTTTCAATTTTCCCCTTTAGGTTTTATAGTTTGAATTTGAACTTAAAAGTTTTGTTTTTGAAATTTAAATAGTTAAAACCCTAATGTTTTGAAATGTTTCAAAACTTGCCCTCAAGTTTTGGAATTTAAAAGTTGATTAAAAGTTTAATTTAGGAATGTTAAATTCTAAAACCCTAGTATTGTTTTGAAAAGTTCAAATCACACCCTTATGGTTTTATTAATTAATTAAAGTGTATAATTAAAGGAGATTTAATAAATCCATAAAGTTTTGGTTTACAATTAAAAGTATAATTATTAAATTTTACCACCTAGTATTTTAAAAGTGTAAAATACACCCTATACTATATATAACATTAAAGGTCTAACATTATATATATGTATGAGTAAAAGTTAGTCTTACCGTTAGTAGGCCTCATTCACGAAGCTGGTCTATAAGGGGTGTTTAAGGAAATTGTCTATAAAATGGCAATTAAATGGGTATCCACTCTTACCCACCGCACTCTTGACTAGTGGAGGGTCGTTAGCCGAACGGGTAGGATAGGACAAAACCTTCCATTATAAGTATAATGAAGAACAAAAGTAACTAAATGTTTTTACAAATTCCCAATCTTAGTTACTTTAGGCAAAAGTGAATTGATGCAATTCCATGAAATTACACTTTGTGCCCTTGCGAAGACGTTAGTGGAGCGTGTTTGGTTTACCGGCACACTAAATGGTTCTAAGCAAAGGTAGCAAAGGGTGACTCAATGTTTGTCATAGTTCGGTGGAGCGTGTGTGGTTTACCGGCACACCGAATAGGTGACCGTAACATGTGAGGGCACCATGTAAGCTTGCATGGTTATTCACACCCGCTTTGGGCATTTGAAGCCTCTAAAGCTATGAGTGCACGTAAAGTTTGCAACTTTACGTGATAAGCATACCCTAGAAGTTTGGATCTATGGTTTGGAGCCGCTGCATGGCTCAAATTAGGTCTGTATGGAAAAAGGACTGGATGTACTCGGCGAGTAGAATGATGGACTCGGCGAGCCCTATGAAGATAGTCGTGGACTCAGCGAGTTGGATGAGCAACTCGGCGAGTCCGATGAAGATTGCCTTGGACTCGACGAGTTGTTCTTCAACTCGGCGAGTCAGATGAATTTGGACTTAGTATGTATGCATCGAGGAAGAACGCGTCGAGTCTTCGCTAAGCTCGACGAGTAGAAACGGGTGTAGAATAAAACAGATGGAAGGGACTCGGCGAGTTGGCGAGCCAACTTGGTGAGTCCGGTCAACCAGGAAGTTGACTTTGATCAGGATGTTAATTTAAATCGGGGGGTAAAATAGTCATTTTACCCTAAGATTAGTTATCAATATCTGACTTAGTGTTTATGGAAATTGTAGCCAGGGAGTTCCGGTTCAGCAGTCAGACGATCAGCAAGCAGACTTTCAGCAGCTACTTCGAGGTGAGTTACCTTTCAGTAGCGGTGGGTCTAAGGCCACAATGTCGGCCCACTAGTAGGAATTGTATGATTAGATGATTGTCTCTGTGATATTCATATAGGGTTGTCACTACCTGTGTTATGTTTATGTGTTTGTACGATATGATGTTATGTGCTAGCGATAGTGGAGGAGATAGTCCCCAGGTTACCGGTCGATAAGGCTGAAGGGGCAGTCATGCCCAGCCATGCTAAATAGATTATGTGATACGTGTTATGTGGTAGTGGTAAGGGTGAAATAGTTCCCAGGTATCCGGTCGAAAGGACCGAAGGGGAGACCAGCACCCAAATATGCTAGTCAGTATCCGGTCGAAAGGACAGAAGGGGAGACCAGCACCCAGATATGCTAGTCAGTATCCGATCGAAAGGACCGAAGGGGAGACCAGCACCCAGATATGCTAGTCAGTATCCGGTCGAAAGGACCGAAGGGGAGACCAGCACCCAAATATGTTACTCATTATCCGGTCGAGAGGACCGAAGGGGTAGGTCGAGCACCCAGATATGCCTGACAATAATTATATGTTATATGGTTATTTGGTATGTGGTATGTTGGGGGAACTCACTAAGCTTCATGATTACGGTTTTTAGTTGTTGTTTCAGGTACCTCTTCAGCCACGGGGAAGGAGCGGGCGCGGTAGCGGCATATCACACACAAGCTCTTGTTTTTCCGCACTATGAGACATTCTGGTATTTGTACTCTGATATTATGATTTACGTTCTGGTTTATTAAACGTGGGATATGTTTTATTAAATGATATGTTTGAATGATATTTTGTTACTAACGTTTTTGCAAACCACTTAATTAAAAACAAAATTTTTGGTCCATAATTTTGGGATGTTACAATTATGTTAATGAGATTAATGTGATTTTTAAATGAAAATTTTGTTGGAAAATTTACGGTGTTACAAATCTTCTCAACCTCAACAATTTCACGTGCAACCTTTACAACCATCTCAAGTCTCATTATCTCAATACAGACCTATAAACCTTGAGAACAGCGACAAACGAGTCCAAGGAAACACAACAACCAACTCGAAGAAGACAAATAAAGGAAAAGAACCACACACACACACACAGAGAGAGAGAGAGAGAGAGAGAGAGAGCTACACAATGGACCAAAGATGATGAGGAAGCTTTAGCGAAAGCTTAGCTTTTCATGTCATAAGTCGGTGACACCGGGAACGCACACTCGGGTCAAAGTTTTTGGAATTGTGTTCTAGACCATTTTCATGCGCTACTAGGAAGGGAAACGGAACAGATATACGATTCGGTCAATGCAAAATGGCGTAACCTATGAGCAGCTTGCATTAAACTTAACGGTATATTTAACAATCTTAAGAATATGCACAAAAATGGTAACAACGATTTCAATATTTTGTCTACCACATGCTACCAATATAAAATTATCAAGAATGGTAAACAATTCGGCAACCAAAAAGCATTAGAAGTTTTTCTTAACAGTCCAAAATGAGTCCTTTATCCATAGACGGCACATTCGAGATCTACCATCGGATCCAACAAAGGCCAAGAACTTCTAAGTCCGACATGGGTTTTGGCCTCGGCCTCAATGATAAGTTCAACGGCACCGAGGGGGAGGGTCCACTGGAAGTCCAACTTCGTCGACCACCAGGAATTGACAAACCGAGAAAGGCGGGGTCTTCAAGCGGAAAACAGTTTACGAAGACGTACTGCGGAAAAAAATAGACAAGACTCTAACTTTTCTAGAAAAAAAATTTTGAATCAACGGAGGAAACTTGTCGCCAAAAAATAGCAAATACCGATCTTCAAATTTTAAACACAAAACCACAACCTGATCTCGACCCGGAAAATCTAGCCGTGTTTTTAGAAATAAACCAAGTCCGCAAAAAATATGGAAATTCGGTTATAGTGTTTTAAAATTTAAGTTTTATTTTATATGTTCTTTTAGTAATTTAGGTATAATTTTCAATGTTTTTTTTATGTTTTTTTATAGTAATTTAGGTTTTAAAATTCGATATTTTTTTAATTAATATAATGTGATTTTAATTAATATAAAATATTTATTTATGTATTTTTATTTAATTTAACGTGAAAAAAAAATCAAAACAAAAAGATAAATATGATGGCGCAGTAACAATTTCTAAAATTAATGGTTTACTGGTAAGCTTGTAATCAAATTGATTTGACACCATTTTTTAAATGGATTGAGTGTGATCACTTCCAATAACTAAAACAAAATCGTTTTTTTTTTTTTTTTTAAAAAAAAAAGATCATTTCATAGGTCAACATCTATTTCGCATGATCTACAAGTTCACTAGCAATTATTTCAATTGGCTTAATTTTGCCTTTTTTTAGAAAACTACTTAATATTTATGTTAGATTTGTCTTTCTAATTTAATAAGAGGTTTAACCATTAGCTTACCTATTAAATTTTAATAACCAATAATATATTTTCTAATGCTTACCTATTAACCAATAATCCATTTTAAACCAAACGTTATTAAAATTTAATGTTGTATTTACTTTTGTGTGTGTGTATATATATATATATATATATATATATATATATTATATATATATATATATATATATATATATATATATATATATATATATATATATATATATATATATATATATATATAACGTTTTCACATGATATAATAAATTAACGGTGAAATGTGACATAACAGTGTATTTAAGAAAATATTTGAAGCTCTCGTACTTTGACATGAAATAACCAAAATACAATGTTCTTTTTACCCTCAAATATATAGTTTAAATCAAAATATACCACTATTAATGATAAATTTTGAAGGAATTAATTCACATATACACCACAAATTTATTTTATATAGAAAAAGTGTATCTAAATCCTCATCCAATTCAGTCATCCCCACTACACACTTGAAACCTCAAAGGTTTATTCGCGAAAAAAGCATCCAAATTCCGAACCACAACCTCAAAAAGACCCATGAAAGATTCCTCAGTCATCACCGCATGATGTGGTGTCATCACAACGTTATCCAATTTCAATAACTCATGAGGAACACCTGGTTCGTTTTCAAAAACATCCAAACCGACCCCACCAATTTCCCCTTTCACTAAACACTCCACCAATTCTTTCTCATTAACGATTGCCCCTCGGGCTACGTTCACTATAACTCCTTGTTTTCCTAAATTCAACATGATGTTTTTGTCAATCATGTGGTGTGTTTGGTCGTTTAATGCACAACAGATGATGAGGATTTCACAGTTTGTTGAAAGTTGTACAACATTGGGGAAAAAAGGGAATGTGAGATCGGGTTTTTTGGTTCTAGAAGTGTAAGAGATAATGCAACCCAAGGCTTTAAGCCTCTTTGTCACCTCCAAACCAATGTTTCCCATTCCTACAACCCCTACTCGCTTACCACCCAACTGAATTTATATATATATATATTAGTAGACCAAAGTTAGCAACGCACTTTCCAATATATATATTTTTTTTATGGCTAAATGTAAGAAATAGCAATGTACTTTCATCTATTTGTATAATATAACATCCAACTATTGAACATTTCTACTACAACATTGTACTTTTAAAAGTTCTTTTTATTAAGGCATTGTAAATGAACTATAGTAACAAATCCTAATATTATTTGTAGGGCTAAATATAATTATACAAAACATAGTTTCATTTATTTGTGTATTGTTGCATCCTACTTTTATTTCTTTATATTACAACATTGTACTTTCAATATTTTTCTGTTAAGGCGTTGTACATTGAAAAATCTCCAATTTGAATGACTTCGCTATACTTAGGTAGTTTTGTTAAAGTACAATGCAATCCTATTTCAAGGAGAGATAAACATGTTAACAAGAGGATAATCTCTTCTTGAGAGCTAAATGCAAAAGAATTCGCAATGTACTTTCAATTATTTTTGTTTTAATGTTATTGCTTTCTATTACAACATTGTACTTCAACTTTTTTTTTCTCATCAAGGCATTTCACTTTAGAAATCTAACCAAATTATAACATTGTAATCTTATTTTATTTTTCTTATTAGGAACATTATACATTGAAAATTCTCCTATTGCAATGACATTGCTATAACTAGCTAGGTTTTTCAAGGTACAATGCTATGATAGAAATAAATGAAAGCAGGATGCTATAATAAACATATCAACAAAAGTACATTGCTATTTCTTGCATAAAACTTATTTATGATATATATATATATATATATATATATATATATATATATATATATATATATATATTATATATATCATAAATAGAGAGAGAGAGAGAGAGAGAACCTTGTGAGCAAGAGGATAATTTTTTTTCTGGTGCCATAATCCAGCCTTAACAAAGCTATTAGCAGCACTTACTCTTCTTAACACATCAATCAACAAACCAACAGCCATATCAGCAACATCCTCTGAGAAAACAGAGCCAGCATTAGCAACTTTGACTCCAAGCCGTTTGCACTCATGGAGGTCAATATGGTCAACACCAACACTGCTGGTTGCAATAAAACGAAGCTCAGGTAGCTTCTGTAAAATGTCAGTGGTAATGGGGCATGAAACAGAACAGAACATAGCTTGTACAGAACCTGCATGGGTAGAAAGGAATTGGTGGAGTGGAATAGGGGATTCCCATGGTTTTAGACAATGGAATTTATCTGAGAATCGTCTCTCATAAGCTTTGAAAACAGAAGGTGGCCCAAGAACCAAGACATTTGGAAGGTCATCTGCTGTCTTTTCTTTTTGTGAAGAATCTTGTTTTTCCATGTTTAGAGCACTTAGATCTGCACAAATTGGAATTTATAAAGATTAGAAGAATCAACAATGTAAACAATTCAGACTTTCCTGAAATCAAGCATGGAAATTCAGGCATTCACATCCATTGAAGAAGCAAAAGATCCATGATTAGATTCAAAAGTTTGAGCATAAAAGAAAATGTATTTCTTATCATTTGTTGTTAAGATAAGGAGCAACCTATTGATCCTGATTTCCTAACATATTAACAATCCTCTAGCCTAATCGCCTAACCTCTGATTCCTGTTAACATATGGATGTGTTTGAATGATCGTTATGAAAGTTACATTATCAGCTATGGTAAATCGTGCAGAGTAAGATTGTATTTAGATGCCTTTTTACTGCAGCTCTTCGATAGTTTTGTAATGTTTAGAAAATCCTGGTTAAATTAGAAATCAAATGGATGATTATTTGACTCAACATAGATTATCCTCATAATAAACAATATGTGGACGATAATCATGAATCAAAAGCTGATACAATTCTGAAATTAATTGCTCGGCCATACGAATTACACAAGTATTAACCTATATTCATAATGATAACAAGAATACACAGAAACAGACGAACAGTGTCAAATATGTCGATCAAATCTAGGGTTTCAACTCCCAACTTTTCGGGTTCGTTTTATCCACACCTAGTTACGAGTAATAGTAATACAGAATCGTCAATTCTATTCACGTAACACTGTCCTAAGTTTGGACATTAAAATTTCAAAACAAGTAACCAAAAAAGTACACGAATTTCGAAGCAATAGCGAATTAAGGTTAAAGAATTACTTCGAGAAGGATAGTTGGTCGAGAACATGAAGCGGAAAGGAATGTCGCGGGAGGAGTCTCTAAATACGACGGTGACCGGTTGTGGCTGGCGGTGGAACTAACTGTCAAGCTCGAGCAAAGGGATAGCTATTGGTCAGTATCGCTGTCATGATTTTCGCTCTACTTTTTCAGGTTCACTCAATAGATTTTTTTTAATTTCTCTATTTTATTATTGATCGAAATAAACTAAATGCTTTAATTTTTAATTTTCCATTTGTAACCGTTTTAAATCTAGGGATTTAGTTCATTACAATACAATAAACTCATATGAGTTAAATGAATTAACTAATTCCACTGACCACACAACTTTACTTATTAAATTTTATATTTCATTAAATTTTATACAATTTAATGATTGTTATTTTTTTAAAATTAATTATCATGAAATTAAAAATGAAAAACTACAATTTAAATTAACCTTAATTAAAAATTATAAATTATAAATTTAAAATATATATATATATATATATATATATATATAGAGAGAGAGAGAGAGGGGTAAGTTAATTCGAAAACGCCGAAAAGATTGAGAACGCAATAATAGATTTTGACTGTTTAAATATGAAAATCTAAGGTTAATACAAGTGTGCCATTTTTGTAAATTTTAAAACTAAGTGGCACCAATTTGTAAATATTTAATAGTGATCAAGGGTAGTATAGGAAATTTGGTTCTTCAACAAAATCACAAAGGATATACGTTTCAATTAATTCAACTTAATTATCTGTATAAATTTATCTTGATTGACCACCAAAAAAACAAACTCCAGTTACCTTCATCGTCTAGCACTGTTCTTCATCGCGACCACCAACTCGCGATCTCAACCCCAACTACACAACCCAAACGCCATCATCATATCGAACCCATCTCTTGATAAACAAAGCATCCGACACAGGTTCATCACATTGCAATTAACAAAGCATTGCACATATTCCAGTTGTTATAATTTGTATGTGGTTTATTTTACGGATCTGATGGGAAATAAACATTCAAGTTTGTCTTCGATTTATATGTTTTAGCGTATTTACAATAGGAAGCAATTTTTAATCTAATGCTTTGACTGGTTTTAATAAGAGCAATCCAAACCCTACTCAAATCCATGTGGCCCTAAATACACGAATCAATTTAAGTAAAAACTAAAAGGGTGTATTGCTTATAATTTGTTCTACATTTGTTAAAATATTCAATCTCTAAATTTATTTTATAGTTTTGTTTTTCATTTATATATGTTTCTGTAATTGTTTGTTTTTATTGGTTAATTCTTTTATCAATATTTGTGTTTATAGCTTATTGCAAAAAATTTTGTAGCTACTATCTAAATGTTATATAATGGGTTGAAGTTGGTAATTTGCCCAAAAAAAACGGCCGTTGTAAGGAAAGGAAATACTTTTGATTCATTTATGATTAAAATTGTATTCGTATGTTGCATATTTATCTTGTGATTTATTAATTTATGATTACAATTGTATTTATGTATGATATACTATTCATTTAGACAAATTAGAAGGAAAAAAGAGGCATAGTCGATTGAGAGATGAAGGAAGAAAAGACTTGATGCTTTCCTTTCCTTGTTTCTACCAGAAAAAGACGTGAAATGATACAAAATTTAAAAAGAGAAAAAGGGGTAAAAATTCTTTTCCCTTGTTTTTTTCGCTCGTCTCTATTACTTGGCAAGCACAGGTGAGTCTTCTTCACTTTTTTTACTTATTGCAATTGCTAATTGTTTATACAACTTTTGCTTTTACATGTCTATTTTTGTTGATACATTTAAATAGTTTTAAAGAAAAGGGGATTATGAATTCTTTTTCTTTTTTAAATCTCTATTTTTTTTTTGATTCATAACGAATAGAACATAATTTCTTTTTTGGAGCTTTAATCATTAATGAAAAGAAGATTTGCTAAATTTCAATTTTATTTAATATTTATTATTAAATAAATCAGATTACATATAGTTTCTGTTTTACTTGTTATCCATTAATGAATAAATGATATTATTTGTTTGTTTTTTTTTCTTCTGTTTTACTAGTTTATTGATGATTACTTCATAATTGAATAACTTATGCATGCTTAATAGCTTTCATCTAAATTGTATCTATATTCATTAATTAATAAACATGCAGTGTGTTTATATACTATTGACCTTTTGTAGACAGTAGACTAAGTCGAAGTTACGAAGGAACTAAATGCAGCAATTGATGTTGATATCGGACGTGGAAAACTCTCGAAACATCATTTTGATCTACATGTTATACAATGTGTTATTCGATTGTAATTAAAATTATATTATTTTTGGCTTACAGTTATGTTGATTTATTTATGTATACATTTCATTTATTCATTTACAATTATATATGTATCGTCTTTTTATCTCTATATTTTGTTTATTCATTCATGATTATATATGAATATAGTTGTGTAAATATATGAATCTAACTTTCTTTTATTCATTTATTAATATGATAGTCATTGAATTCATTTATCAACGAATAAAAAAACCATTACCAAATTAGATATTCATTAATAATTAAATACAACTAAATTCTGAAATAAAATTGAGTTTTGTTGATATTACCAAATTAGTAATTCATTACAACTAAACCGTGGACTTTCATATTTTAGAGGAAATTCATTCAATTTAATATTATTATTTTAATAAAAAAATATAACTTTTTTGGAAAATAGTTGAAATAAATGATGGCAATATTATAGGAAACTATAATTTAATTAAGTTGACTGCCTCATTATTGTAATTGTAAAATTCCTATATCACCCCTTTGAAAATGATTGGTCCATAATTGTTCTCGTGTTCTCAATCTTTATACGTTTTCATTATAACCTCTTCATATATATATATATATATATATATATATATATATATATATATATGTGTGTGTGTGTGTGTGTGTGTATGTATGTATGTATGTATGTATGTGTGAGGAGAGACAGGATAGAGTTTAATGGGGATTTAACTTCACATTCTATTGAATCCTAGTCATTTTTCCATAATGAGATTTTGAGTTTAATGAGATTAAACTCCACATTAAACCTCTCACTAAGCTCCCATTGGAGATGGCCTTAGGTTATCTGTTATACCTACCACTAGCCATTATAGTGATGGGTACCACATAATCACCACTAACTACCACTAAAAGCTTGAGATACTCATCGTTATATCCTTCTTATTTTTTATTATTAAAATAATTTTTTTTAATTAATTAAAGTGTAGTGAGATGTGGAGAAAGGTAGAGAGAGAGAGAGAGAGATAAAGAGAAATAGAGATAGAAGTAAGTTGATTGGATTTGATGTTCCGTGCTCTCCACCACAAATGACCACGAAATAGTTCCACCACTATCCACACTAGCACCTTGGGATGGTGTTCGTATTTGTGGTTAGTGGACACCTAGACCACTAACCCTCTCGTGATGACCATACCAGATGGTCTTAGGCTTAAGGGAATGGATCGTGGTTTGGCCACATTCAGTGCCACATAGATAGGGTGTGACAACTGTCAAATTTCGGTCAAGACAAAGTCAACTAAAGTCAACAAGTCAAACCGTTTGACTCAATTTGCCCTTGGGTACTAGAATTTACATTATGAAATTTCTACACAACTCTCTATTCTAATGAGAGATCATAAATCAAAAGTGCGAACATCTAGATCTCGTTAACCGAAAGCTGTGGTACGTGGCTAGCCAAACCGATAAAAGAATGTTGCATACTCATCGGGAGTGTGTCAGATCCTTAAACAAGGCTTAACAATATTTACGGACCTTGCATTGCGGAGCCGGACACTCACAAATGCCACACTCGAAACCTCTCTCAATCGTTTTCACTCCATCTCTCTCTATTTGAAATCTCTCTAAGTATGTGAAACCTCTCCCAAAACTCTCTTTGTATGAGAAATCTCTCTAAGTATGTGAAATCTCTCCCAAACCTCTCTAAGTATGTGAAATCTCTCCCAAATCTCTCTAAGTATGTGAAACTTCTCCCAAAACTCTCTTTGAATGAGAAATCTCTCTAAGTATGTGAAATCTCTCCCAAACCTCTCTAAGTATGAGAAATCTCTCCCAAATCTCTCCAAGTATGTGAAATCTCTCTCAAATATCTCTCTGTATGAGAAATCTCTCCAAGAATGTCAAATCTCTCCCAAATCTCTCCAAGTATGTGAAACCTCTCTCAAATATCTCTTTTTATGAGAAATCTCTCCAAGAATGTTAAATCTCTCCCAAATCTCTCCAAGTATGTGAAATCTCTCCCAAATCTCTCTCAAAAGCTTCCCGTAACTTTTTAGAATCATTCGGGTCATTCCGACCCTTAACTGGGTCAAAAACGGCTTAAAACGGGGTAAAAATGAGAAAAATGGACCTTAGGAACCGAAACCCTCTTATAAGAGGCGAAGCTTCTTAGGACCCGAAGGTCCTCTTAGGGACCGAGAGCAAGAGGACCGAACCCGAGCCCAGGAGGAACCGAACCCGAGAGCAGGTGGAACCGAACCCGAACCCAGGAGGAACCGAACCCGAGAGTACTGTTCACTACTGTTCATTCGGTTCATTTCGGGTCTGACCTTCGCCTTCGCCTTCGCCTTCGCCTCTCGCTTCCTCGCCCCTTCGTTTCCTTCTGTTCGCCTCGTTTCCGGCTACAGCTCCCAGCAAGGACCGAACCTCGGCCTAGGGACCGAGAGGTCTCGCTGGGAATGCCTTTCTTCCCGGTTTTCGCGTAGTTTTGCGTTTAAGGCCCGTTTTTAATTATTTTAACGCGGGATTTTCACCCAAAATCATATTTTAACATAATAAACCCTAAATATTCACAATTTAATCATATTTTCATAAAAATCTTTATTTAAATAATAAAAGCAAGTGGGTAAAGTACAAAGAGGTGGAGTGTTGACTTTGCTTTACCTTATGACACAAGCAACCACTCCCACACCCACTCTATGACCAGCCACACCTCCCCACCTTACCTAGGTCACATCAATGTCATTTCCACTCAATTATCACTCTTTCCCACGTTTTTGAGAGCTGAATATTCATCCTCTCTCCTCACTTCTCTCATTTGCTCTCATTTCACAAGAAGATCAAACTCTTTCCTCTCTCACTTTCTCTCTCTAGAAATTCGAGATTCAAGGGCTGATCTTGAGTTTTTCCTCCACATTTG